AAGGGGGGGTTCATCAGGCGCTTCGGGGAGCCTGTAACTTTCAAGTACCTCAGCCAATGGGGAAAGAAAGAGGGACCCGCGGCCGGGAAATTGGGATAAAAGGAGGCTGCGTCCTCTATGAATTTGRGAGAYCCCATGRGAAATGCCCRTGACCTCTCCCTTTATTCATGAATAAAGTTGCGGGACTCCTCTGTCTCCTTTTTGGACATAAACCTCTGGTGCTTGTGGATTAATTTTCCTTACAATTTGGACGCTCGTCCGGGATTCTTCCACCGTCCGGGGGTGGCGGGCAGCAAGTGGAGCTGAAGGCGCGCCTCACCCAGTTTTGGTGATCAGCTCCTCTTGGTGGCGGCCAGCACCGGGCGATTGATTGGGTTCCCGAGACTGTCCAGGAGACAGACGAGTGGCGGACCAGGGGGGTCCGTGAAGAGTCCGCAGGGAAGGAGAACTGAAAATCTCACCGGTGAGTAAAAGGGAAACTTCGGGGAGTAAACCTGGGAGGGCACCCATGGAGGGTTGCAAAGGCAAACCTGGGAGGGCACCCATGGAGGGTTGCAAAGGCAAACCTGGGAGGGCACCCATGGAGGGTTGCAAAGGCAAACCTGGGAGGGCACCCATGTAGGGTTGCACAGGTAAAACAGGGCACCCAAGGAGGGTTGCACAGGTAAACCTGGGAGGGCACCCAAGGAGGGTTGCGCAGGTAAACCTGGGAGGGCACCCATGTAGGGTTGCACAGGTAAACCTGGGAGGGCACCCATGGAGGGTTGCACAGGTAAASCTGGGAAGGGGCCCTGGCAAAAGGGATGACGATCCCAAAATATCTYTGAAGAGTCGTCTGGGAGAATATCGAGTTGGTTTGCACATTCTCCCAAGGACATTGGATGCCCGGGGGGGCAACAGGGGGAGTCGAGAAGGGGTCTCGACAATCCATGCTCAGGGGGGGCAATAAGAGGAGTACAGAGCAATGTGGTTAAGGAAGGTGTGGCAGGACCGGGCGTGGAAGTGCCGGACCGAGAGCACGGGCTGRGSTCCTGTGGGGAGGCGCCGGGCCGGGCTGGGACTGTGAGTCAGCTGCGGGCTCAGTGCCGGGCAGTCCCTGACCCTACGATCCACCCCGGGCAGGGACAGCAGTGCCCTCCTGTCTCCATGAGGCTGCGGGACGCTCCGGCCGCCTGTGGTGCTGCTGGCAGTGTCCCCTGGGAACGCCTGGGAGGCTGTGCTCTGTGTTTGGACACTGCGAAAGGAATAGCTGGGAAATGCAAGTTGTGCGTGGGAAAATGAGGATTTTCTTTTAAGGATTTTGTTTGAGTCACTGGAGAAACGAGTGATTTTGATCTGTGTGAGAAGGGGGTAAGGAAAAGGTGATGGCAGAGTTATTATAATCCCGGAA